GCCTGGTCTTGTGATCGAGCGATCCCGAGCATGTCGTCGAGCGGCGACGGAAGTCCCGAGCACAGTCGAGGGAGCGACCTCCCGTGGTCGAGTGATCGAGGCGATCCCCGAGCACAGTCCTCGGCTCAGAGAAGTCCCGAGCCGTGGTCGGAGAGTGATCGAGCGAACCCCCGAGCTGTGTCCGAGGGATCCCCGAGCATAGCTCGAAATGACTGCAATATAAACATGTAGAAAGGTAGTACATGATGTACAAAAATAAATTATGGAGAAAAATCTCCAATCCAGCGTATGACGCCAGCTCGAAGATCATTGCAAATGAGCATGATGTGATAAAGCGGTTGGTGCTTTGTAAACATCAGTGTTAATGTGAAGTTTGTGTTTACTAATGGTGTCACCGAGGCGTCGCTAAGGAGCATTGCCGACCACCCATAACGAGAGGGGGGCGCTGGCTGCCGCCATCTCCTTCAAGAGCTTCACGCCCCTTTGCAATAAACATAGCGAGGATGTTTGGTGTATTGTGACAACATCATATTAGAAGTGTACTTATCTTCTAAATCTGGTCGGTGGCGATGAAGTCCTCCAACCCGAGCTTCAACATGACGCATGGACGGTGGTCGCGGTTGTCGTAGCGCGCCCGTTCTTGGCGGCTAAGCACATTGAGATTGATCTTCACTTCGTTCGAGAGCGAGTTACAATTGGTGATCTTCGTGTCCTTCATGTACCGACTTCATCTCAGTATGCGGACATCTTCACCAAGGGACTTCCTTCTTCAATTTTCACGGAGTTTAGGTCCATACATGTATATAACGTCAACGTTGCGCATGATCCTGTGGTTCCAATAATTCATCAAGGATCATATGGTGAAGGCGTGTTAGCGTGAGGCTTATTGGGCTGCTAGCCACATGGGCCAAGGCGCCCAGGGCTGTTATAGTAGGTGGTTTGGTATTAGGCAAGGATCCTCCTGATTGGGTATTGATCTGTAAACCCGTTATCCTTGCTTATATATTGTACATCCCTTGTACTCCTGGTAATCAATCTACTATTATTCCTAACCCATATCTGCTTTCAGATTCGAACCCACACGTAATGAGGTACCCTGGAATCAGATACCGATCAAGTTCTAAACTTTCTGGTTTGCAATATGGTTAAACTCCTCTATAAGTAGACATTTTTCTATTGGGACGTTTCATTTTGGTTGAACTTGTAACGTTGATGATGGTATGGTTGGCAAATCCAAATCTGTACATCTTCTTTGGTGATTTCTCGTGTTATTATTAGAATATATTCTTTTTTTTGTGTTGCCTGACATGTCCCTTTTACTTGTGCTGATGCTCTGATAACTAGGGATGAAAACGGATCGGATACGGACGGATATCACCGATATTACATTTGTTTTCATATTTCTGTCCGGATTCGGATTCGAATACGGATAGTGTCAACTATGTCGGATAGGATACGATTGGATATCGACATCATAAATATGCGATTTGAGTATTCGGATACGGTATCGGATGTTAGATATCCGGATGCTGTGATCGGATACACAAGGCGCGAGAGACAATGATTTAGAGATCTCAACCCCTCTAGATGTATCGGATTCGATTTGAATATACTTGACGGTCGGAAAATATCCGGTACATTACAATGTCTTTTCATCCCTATCTCACGATAACCATCGAGTTCTTCTATTGCATTGGATGGCTTGTTAGACTAATGATTCGTCTAGTAGTATTCAAATTTGGAAAATGTATTCCAATATTGTAGCAGCGAACCAAACACAGTAATGGTATTGGATACATTGACCACATGCAGCCAGCCCCACCCCCCACCCCCCCTACCGTTTCCAATAATCTGTTTCCAATACTAATGATCAGTTTCCAAACTAAAGTGAGTGCAACCAAACTAATGATCTGTTTCCAATACCGTTTGCTTTACCAGTGAGTGAACCAAACTCTAAGCTAGAGCCTACAAGAAGTACTGCCCGCATAGCTCGTGCTCTCAACATCTCCTATAATCTTGTGTAATCTCCCGATGCCTCGCAATCGCAGGCCTATGCGTATAACTCCATCTCCCATGGTGCAAGTGTAACCGTGCAGCTAGATCGTTGCTCGCGAGTGCGCTGAGCTTTCGTTAAGTAATACAAGGCCCTAGAGCCGAGTTTATGACCAAAAAAAAAAGATCGGAGCATACAACTTCTGGGGAGCTAACCCTTGTGATTCTTAGCAGGGAGCTGCAAGCTTTGAAGTATTGCTCTTATAGACGACTATTAACCTTGCTCTGAGCCAGAGGCACATGATCGGGCGCTACGGCTCATTTAATTTTCGTATCAGATTTTTTATTCGGTTATGAATACTGATTACTGAGTAGCACTTGTATATAGCGGGCGCTACTACTGCATGAATTGCTAATTCAGATACTGATTAATAGTCATGAAATGAAATTTGTTAAGGAAAGCCAAGTAACGATTGCTTGTTTGTAGAGCGACTGTTAGTGCAACACAATGGTGACTCAGAAGAAAATATAGTATAAGCAGCAAATCTGAATGGAGTATATAACATTCGGAAAGGTAATCAGGTGATGGTGCACACTTTTTGTTACTCATTCACGCGATTATTTGCAAACTGATGCTTGCCTGCTTCGCAAGAGAAGCTTACTTTCTCAATCTCCATCAATAAGCATTCCATCATATCATGGGTTCCAGATCCGACAACAGTATAAGCATCAGGGCCAACCTCATGGCCAAAAAGATTTCCCTACTACACTTTAGTATGCACAGCTCACAAACTGTGGTTGTGAACTTTCAGTTTCCTTTGTGTTCAAATTTACATGAGGGGACTAGTGTAGTGTTGGCCCCCAAATTATCCATTCCTTCCTACACAGGATACCAGGGGAGCAACATTACATCATGTTCCTCTCAAGATCGTACATAAGTCTCTTCTGCAAATTACCTATGCCCAGAGAGCTAATACTGACATAGAAGCCGATCCAAGCACCAACGCAATGTAACATGCCTTCTTCAGTTTCAGAGATGCTGACATCATCTTGTTATGGAAAAAATCAAGAGAAATTAGATCGACTAGCGCCATATATATGAGAATTCCAGCCGAAAGTGAACCAAGGATCCCTTCCATTATTAAGGCATTTGGATTGCTATCATCGTAACCAGTCATGTGGAACACTAGCATTCCAAGAAGAATTCCCAATGGTGTCGTCACTGAGAACATTATGCACATGTAGCCAACCATTGCCATCCCAAAACCAGCCTGAGAGAAATAGACAAGTGCATACACATCAACGAAAAGTGCAAGTGTCTCTATACGCTAGTACAGATTAGAAACAAAGACTGCAGAAGCAAATATTTAGTATGTTTCAGTGAAGAGATGACATAATACCATGCAGACCAAAGGGTAATGCATGCAACTGGAAATTACTGTTCATCTCTAGTTATGAATTATGAATATCAAAATAAGACTGCCCGCATGCTAAATGGAAGCCAAGGTGATGGCTTTATTTGGTATTCATTAAGATAACTGAGGAAAAGGATAGAAATTGGCAAATCGCACTAGCACCGCTGCCAACACTGGACACATTACTCTTGTATTACTGTTGTATTTTTCAGGTACTCTGAATCTTTATGAGTCCTAGTGTTTGGGATGCCCTGCAAACTCTTTACTCTTTCACTATCATTCTTCGTGGAATTGCTCTCCAACAAGATACCACCAAACCAAAAAGGACTTTTAAGGCTTAAAATGCTATTTGCTTTGTCACTTCTCCTGTGTGCATAACACATCAGCCTCATTACCTTCTTTCTACAGTGGAAGGAGGACAAAAGGTAAACGTTGTCCAAACTCCAAACATTTGATGAATCATAAAAGTTGAGCATGAACCAACAGAACTTGGTGGGGAAAAAGGACAGATTGGCCACATGGGTCTTCATGGTGCAAAAAAGTTCAGCCTTCAGGTTTTTACTGCTAAAACAAATGCAATGAGTAGTACAAAAAGGTCACTCTGGTTAACTGTTGTGGACCACGGGGAACCTTCGACCAGGAATCATTCTAAACTCTATAAAGTTATATGGAGGGATCAGGGGACACAAAGGGGCTTAGTCATTATCAACTATTAGTTAAATATAACAATACGGTTCAGACCAGATTCCCAAATCTGAAAATGAAAACAATCAACGACAAGCTTAATCCCTTTGTCCTGTCTATGTGCAAATTATCATATCAGGCATAAGCATATAGGTAGCTAATAACACAATGTGACCCCCTAATAAAAAATGAGACTTTTCCCTGTGTGCCATTATAAAAGATCATAATCCCTTGTGTGCCCCTGGAAAAATTCAGCGGTCTTCAGCGCCACTACTCCAACTTTTTCGGGTCCTCCATGCCACTTCCGTCAGTTCAGGCTCTAACGCCGTCAAACTGCAGGTGTGAAAAGACGAAAATGCCATTAAGTTCAAATATGTTATTAATTTTTTTTAACATGTTAACGACTTCAAATGAAAAAACTCAAAACTAGAAAGTTGTAGATCTCGTCGAGATTTATAATTTTCATATAAAAATTATTTTCATTTAATTCCGCAAAAAAAATATGATGATTTTTCTAAGATATATTAATCATATCAAATCATATTTTTTTTGGGGAATTAAATGAAAATAATTTTTATATGAAAATTATAGATCTCGACGAGATCTACAACTTTCTATTTTTGAGTTTTTTCATTTGAAGTCGTTAAGATGCTCAAAAAAATTTAATAACATATTTGAACTTAAGGGCATTTTCGTCTTTTCACACCTACAGTTTGACGGCGTTAGAACCTGAACTGACGGAAGTGGCATGAAGGACCCGAAAAAGTTGGAGTAGTGGCGCTGAAGACCGCTGAATTTTTCCAAGGGCACACAGGGGATTACGATCTTTTATAATGGCACACAGGGAAAAGTCTCATAAAAAATACGACTATCAGTTCATTGTACTCCAAAAGGAAGCCAGCCAATCGGTCAAATGATATTTTGTCCAGCATAGTGTAATATGAGACTATGAGAGAACATTGACATCACAGATTCTTTCAAGGTAGATGTAGAACTTCCTAGTTCCTGATAATACAAAATCTAAATTCACACCAAAAATTCGCAAATTAGTTATGAACTTAATAATATGAGCAAATTGGTCATGAGCTCTTCAATTAGGCACATAATTCGAGTAAACATATGTTTTTGGCTGTCACCTGTGCGATGCATCCGCCGAGGCCCATCCCCTCGAACACCTGATGGAAGGAGAGCGCAACCACAAGTGGCCTGATTGCACAGACATCCTGGGACATCCCCATTGTAACCCCGATGATGACGGAGTGGAAGACTATCCCAATCTCCAGCACTTTGGACACCATCTTCTGCTTCCTCCTGGCCTCCTCCTCGTCCTCCCCGGGCCCCTCCCCTACCTCCACCACTTCATGGGCGACGCCATGGCAGCCGGCAGCGACGACGGGGACCTCGTCGCTGCGCGCGCCCTTTTTGGGCCCGAAGAGCGCCACGTCGTCGCGGTCCGGGTCGGCGCCGTTGGTGGCGGCGTGCGGCGCGGGGTCCTCCTCTCGGTCGTCATCCAAGAAAGCGCGCTTCTTGGGGCTCATCTCGCCGGCGAGCTCGAACACAGGAACCTTCTTGGGGATTGGGGCGTAGGGCGTTTCCTGGTGGCCGTGGCCATGGGCGTCGGAGTCACCGCCGACGTGGGCGTGGGCCTCGAGGTGGGAGGAGGCGGAGAGGTCGACGAGGAGCGCGAGCAGCGCGCCGACGAGGGTGAAGAGGCCCGCGAAGGGGAAGTCCCTCCACGGCCTGCGCGAGGCGACGGCGCAGTCGGCGAGCGCGGCGTGCGCGTCGGGGAGCACGTGGACGAGCGAGGTGGAGAGGATGACCCCCGCCGCGTAGCACTTGACGAGGAGCAGGCCCCGCGCGTAGTTGGGGCTGCCGCGGAAGGCGCGCGTGAGCGCGACGGGGAGGCAGATGCCGACGGCGCTGGCGACGAGGATGGCCAGCAGGGACCCCTTCTTGAGCCGCGCGGCCGCCGCGCCGTCGCGGCAGACCCTGGATAGGGCCGCCGCGCCGTCAGCGGGGAGGCACCCGGTGCCGGACATGGCGCTGCGGCGGCGCGGGGTAGGCGTTCGACGGAATTACACCCCGCCCTGCGCGCGCGCGACGGCGACAGGGGACGAGACCTGGCGGTCGTAGCTGGAGTGTTTGGACTGGGAGGAAACAAGGGTGTGACCGTGCGAGATGGTTAAGGGGACGTTTGGTTATTTAGTCGTTTCTAAAATTTATATCATATTAAATATTAATAAAAAGTATTAAATATAGATTAATTATAAAACTAATTATATAAATGGAGGTTAATTTACGAGATGATTTTTTTAAGTCTAATTAATTTATTATTAGCATATGTTTACTGTAGCATCATGTTGTTAAATCATGGGCTAATTAGATTTAAAAGATTCGTCTCGCAAATTAGTCACCAGTTATGTAATTAGTCTTTATTTAATATTCCATGCATGTGTCTAAATATTCGATGTGATATGAATTTTAAGAGCGCCCGTGAAACCAAACAGGACCTAATTTCAATGCGGTGTGGGCCCCAGCCAGGCCCGTGCAGCGTTGAAGTCTATCTGGACTCTGGCGCGGTACAGAGGTTTTTGCGGAATTTTGTGGAGGTGGGGTAGAGCTGAGAATTTTGCGGGCCAGATTAGGTTCAGTCTGGGTGTATAAAGAACTCAGTTATTTCGGATCGAAAAAGTCCGGTCTATAACCGTTTCACCGGACATCTTGGGTCTAATTTTCTAGGCTAGGCTCGAGCCAAGCTTGAGTATGGGCAGGCTATCCGCGTATTTTACAGTGCAAAATAGCTACAAATAGTATTTCGGGTCAAGCTTGAACCAACAAAAAAAAATTCTGGACAACGAAATATGTGCGCACCGTGTCCACTAAGGTTTGTGGGTGGACCAAAACCCATCCGGCTCGGGCTGGACGAGGCTCAATTTACTCAGGGGTCCAGGTGAGGAGAAGAGGGAAGTGTTTTTTTTTAAACTAGAAGAGGGAAGTGTTGTACGTGTGTGTCACATGCTTAGTGTTTTTTTAAAAAAGTCATATGCTGCATTTAGCGGAGGAGGCCACGACTGACACGTGGGGCCAAGTCAATCGGTCCGCTCGCCTTAACCATGGCAGTAGCGATGCCTCTACCCTCAGCAGTAGCATGCTGCCTTCGTGCGCTGTTTGAATGCTAATTTTTCTAGCCTCCATCCACAGTTTCCTTTTGACCCTTGATTCACCGGAGATGCACATCAACTGCAGCCCTAAAACCCTTCTTCAACATTTGCTTGGCGATGTCCCTGCACCCTAGTGTCATGCGCCTCTGACTCTGATGCACAATGACGCAGCTCTCTGACTTGTGGAGGTCTTAATAAAGGACGAAGTTAATGCGTGACGGGTCGTGTGTTTGAGGAGCATGTGACCTCGTTGACATCATCCTCGTGCCCCGCACATGCCCTCGGCTTCCACCATTCGCGGCTGGTGGCTCCTACCGCCTCACCGCGCCAACCGCCATCTCACCCGCCACCACCGTCGTGTCGTGACCGTCGCCACCCAAAGAGTCGCCGGTGAGTGGATTCCCTAACCTCGGAACCCTGACCTTTCTTCTTCCTCCTGGCGAGCGGTGCGCGGATGGGTTGCACGAGTGCACGGACACGCGACCCATCGCGTAATAGAGTTTGTGCTTAATAAACACGGGCGGCGCTAAAAATAAAAAAACACATATATCTCTTTCTTTTTTCTTTCCTATTTGCCGCTTCTTTTCGAACTGCTCCAATACACTGCGATCCTCACCTTCGTTGCCCCCACCAGGTTGACTCTAAAAATTGGGGTCCTCATGACGAAATATAAAATGCAGCCCTAAACAATTCAGCTTCAATCATTCATTACATTTATTCTCTTGCAGTACTTAGAAATATATCAAATAGTAATGCTAAAAGAGTAAAGGCACCACTGAAGTAATAAAATTGTTTTACTAAAATGCGTGAAGAGTCGAATTACATCGTAGTTAGATAATTGTATGGTGTTAGCGAGCTATAACAATTAGGATTTCACACAACATGGATAAAAAGAAAAGGAAATAGGAGAGAATGATATCATCGGTCATTATCACAATGCAAATTAATTTCCTCGTTACATGGGTGTATAGTATCATCTATTGTTTTTTGTCTTTATTTTGTAAGAGCCATTCAATAGTTTCGTGTCTTTATAGATCATCTGAAGACAGTCACATGATAGTCTCGCTTTTAACAGCAAAGCAGAAGCTTTTTTTTTATAGTGAGGTTAATCTTTTACTCTGGAGATTTGCTAACACACTTTATGTGAGCAAACTACAGGAGTACATGCTAAAAGGTAACATTTTTCATGGTTAATTATTTAAACTTGGTGTGGCGTGGTGCTACTGTGTCGACCGTGGCGGCACTGTAGCCACGATGATAGTTCCCTAGCCATCCTGTGCGACGTGGTTTCCGCCGTGGTCTTCGTCATCGTCTCCTGGTTTCCTAGGGCGTTGTATAGGAGTTGGTGGCCGCTCCCAGGCTGTTGGTTGCCTTGTTGTCTTGAGGAGCGGGGGGCCACGATCCGCATCGTTGGGATCGTGGTTTCCGCCAGCCTGGATGGCCTCTGAGTCGATGCCCTCGTCGTGGATCCTATCCCGTAATGGGTAGGATCATACTCTTGTCTTGTCGGGCCATATCTGGCCGGTGGTCATCGTACCTGTCGTCACCGCTTTTGAGCGGTATTGTCTTGTCTGTGCGGCGTGGCACAGGGATGGTGTCTGATTGGACCGAGGTGACTACTGTCCCCTCGGTCCTTGCGGGGCCAGTGCGGCGTGCTCGTTCCTGTCAAAGCAGGCACGCTTGGCTGGGCATGACCTCTCTCCGTTCCTTCCTGGGGTCGTGATGGGGGAGAGGTCGTGCGCCTTTCCAGCGCCGTGTAACTAAGGCGCGAAGGAGGGGTTGTGGTTGACCCTGGTCTTAGCGTCCGGCCTGGTTCGTTTGGCTTAGCTAGGCCTCGATCGTTTGGGCCTTCGCTAACTGATGTGTTATGGGCCGCTCGTCCTGCTAGCTAATCGGTGCCCGGAGACCCCCTGGGGTTATAACCTCGACAGTAGCTCCCGAGCATTTTTGCGATCATGGAGTGATCGTGAAAGCGCTGATAAGAGTGTGCATTGAGCATAGGTTCATAGTCGTGGCTTGCTCGAGCTTCATTGCTCGACCTCTCGTGGGTTGGTGCGTTCGACGCGGTAGGTGGCCGGTGCGTTCCGCCTCGTCAGGATGCCCTGGCGACGCGGTTCATGAGTGTCAAGCCCTGCCATGTCAGTGTGCTGCATCTCAAGGCTTGTGACCTAGGTGGGACCGAATAGTCTCATTGACGTTGTACCGGTCCGACCTTTATGAGAGTCTCGATTTGCCCGAACTCACGCGGGCATCTGACTTTGGTTGTGACCTCCCGTGGGTTGCCACGCGGCGTGGGAGCTTTCGGCTTGTTTTGGTCTGCTCTTGGGCCTATAAATATGGGTCCTCTACCGTTCGAACCATCCACAGCTGTGTCTACAAACCATTTTTTGCCTTCCTGCTGAGAGAGAGTGAGGAAATGGGACAGAACGGCTTGGGGAGAACCATGTGGTTCTCGTCGTGTGTTCCTTTGGGGATCGCCCGTGGTGGCCGGAGCCGGCGTTGCCCTTTCAACAACTGGTGCTAGAAGGGATTTTGCGAGCAGGGAAGGATTGGGGCGGTGCTCTGGCCAACCACAGGGTCTCGTGATTCAAGCGCTTCCCCGAACCCATAGGCTTTGGATTGCTAAAGCACGAGCACCAAGGACAACTTCTAGTTTCTCCCTGTACTTGTAGATGGCCCTGAAAAGCCGCCTTAGGTTCGGGGGAGGCGTTGCCATCCCATGGTGTTCCCTTCATGCTTTTCGGAGCATGATGGGGGTGGCCTATGGGCTTGACCCAGCCCCATTCTTTCTTCCCTACGTGCCCCTACCCGTGAGGTTGGGGTGCTATGGGGAGGAAGGGGAGGCGATTTCTTGCCTCTTCCCTCATGCACTTGTGGCAGGCGCCTCCGGGGTCCCTGATGCTGCTGCTGTTGGTATAAATTAATGCACATAGAATAATCCGCAAGCGCACGGATATTATACCGATGTAGCACTTCAACAGGAGTACCCAGTTTTATATCGAACTCGAGGAAACGTATGTGAGAATAACCAATTCTAACTTAACCCAACTTCACAATCAAGGCTACATAATAGGAGCGTAGAGGAGACTGTTAAGGTCTTCTAGTTCTAACTTCGATAAGCTTTGCCTTCTATTGTTCAATTCTGGGGATATTACTAGAGAAAACACAGGCAGAGTATGTTTCCTATGGCAATAAAGTCCTCTTAGGCCTACTAACGGGAGGTGGATTACAAAGGATTCAACGAGGCTATAAGAGTCACCCTCGCGAGCTACCACCGATCTAGAAAAGTAGGGTACATCCACGAGTAATCGAGTCTAAGCACCATACTTACACTACGAATACTACTTTAACCCAGGAGCTATAAGGATTAAAGTACTCAAAGAGAGTCGTAAACCTAAAGAATAATATGAACAAGATGCTTACTTGAATTACAAGTCGATTACCAGAGAAATCTCAGAAGCAAGCTCAAGAAGAACTTGATTTCGCCAGGGTACAAGCCATAGAGAGAGCACCGATAGGCCAAGATTCCTCCAAAACTCTTCCCTCTCACTCTATCTCTCTATCTCTAATACAAGACTAGATCCTATTGAGGACTAATCTTCTCTTAATTGCTAGCTCTGATCCTAGTGGAAATATGGAATAGGGTTTCTGGATTTTCAACTCTCAGGATCAAATGCATGGATTGCCCCGGGGGGTGCAAGCAGGTATATATAGGTCGAAGCTTCAATCCTGAGCCCTCGGATCAAACCGACTTGAATAAATGGCGGAGATGCACTCCTTAAGGCGGTGGAGTATCGACATAGCAACGGAGGACTGACATATGGGGCCAGCCCATAGGCTGGCCCCATATGTCAGGGGCACGGGCTCCGCTTCGGTGG